GAGAGAAAGAAAGAAGGAAAACTAAAAAGAGGAAAAAAAAAAAAAAAAAGAAATAGAAAGCAAGGAAGGATGAAATGAAGCAACGAAGTAATCAAGGAGGGAAGATGGAAAAGAAAGAAATCATAAAGGAGACAACTAGGGTGCAGCGCCATTTTCTCCAGGCGCTGAACCTACAGCCTCCCCCTCTGCTGCAGTACAGCGCTCGGGAACTAATGCCCCGTAATTACCGCTAATGGTCCCCTCATTGATGGTCTACGCCGAGACGCCGGAGGCGATGGGGAGCTGCCATCGGGGATAAAGAAGAGAGAAGGCTGGAGCAACAAAGGAAAGGAGGATGACGACATGACAGGGAAAAACGGGGATTAGGAAGGTAGAGACGAGGAAAGAGAAGAAAGAAGAGAGGGAAGAAGGAAGAAAAGCAAGTAGAAAAAGAAGATCAAAAGCAGCGAAGAGAAAGGAAGAAAGAATAAGGAAGAAGAAAATAAAAGCAGAAAGGGAAAAAAATGAGGAAAAGAAAAAAAGAGAAAGAATGAGGAGAACGGAAGACAGAGGCGAGAGAACAGATAACCAGCCAGAGTCCGGAGGCGCGGTTTGCTGCGGAGCGTGTGAGGCGTCGTCGGAGCACACGGTGTCGCTGCAGGCTCAGAAACGGCGGCGGAGCGGCGAGGCGGCTCCGCCCCGGTGCGGCGGAGAGCCCGGCTGTGAGCGCGGGGGGGCGGCGCGGGGCGGGCAGGAGAGCCGGTGCGTCCGTGCGGCGGCGGCGGGGAGCCGTGCGGGGCCCGTCGGAGAACTCTCCTCCCGGGTCTCGTTTCCCGCTGGAGGGCGCGTCGGATGCAGATGTGGGCGCCAACGCGCAGCTCTCCTACACACTCAGCCCCAGCGAGCATTTCCAGCTAGACATACAAAAAATGAATGAGCGAAACATTGAACCGGATCTTGTTCTAACGAAGCCGCTGGACCGCGAGACGTTGCCTGTGCACCTACGCTCGATGTTAAATCCTCTGATGAAATCAGGACGTCTGTGTTCCTGATACTCGCGAATCCGCTGGACCGCGAGACGGTGCCCGTGCACCGATTGGTGTTGACGGCGAGTGACGGGGGCCGTCCGTCGCTGACGGGCACGATGGAGCTGGTGATCTCGGTGCTGGACGCCAACGACAACGCGCCCCAGTTCAACCAGTCGGTGTATAAAGTGCAGCTGCCGGAGAACGCTGCTGAGGGGACACTGGTGGTGCGTGTGAACGCCACGGATCCGGACCAGGGTCTCAATAGCGACTTTTCTTACAGCATCGTCAGTTCGGTTCCTGTTGGTAACAGAGATCTGTTCACCGTTGACTCGAGGACGGGCGATGTCAGACTGACGGGTGCCCTGGATTTTGAAGACGTCCGCTTACACGAGTTACAAATCGAAGCGACAGATAAGGGGACACCCCCGCTGTCGGGTCATTGCAGCGTAGAGCTGCAGGTATTGGACGTGAACGACAACGCGCCGGAGGTGTGGGTGACGTCGCTGTCGGTGCCGGTGCCGGAGGACGCGGCGTTGGGGACGGTGGTGGCGCTGCTGAGCGTGTCGGACGGCGACTCGGGGGCGAACGGTCGCGTGCGGTGCGCGGTGTGGCCGGCGTCGCCGTTCGGTCTGGTGTCGAGGTTCGCGGGGTCGTACTCGCTGGTGCTGCGGGAGGCGCTGGACCGGGAGCGGGTGTCGGAGTACGAGGTGGAGGTGCGCGCGGAGGACGGCGGGTCGCCGCCGCTGCGCGCCAGGCGCGGGGTGCGCGTGCCGGTGTCGGACGTGAACGACAACGCGCCGTCGTTCCTGCAGGCCGTGTACACGGTGCTGGCGCGGGAGAACAACGCGGCGGGCGCGGAGCTGGGGCGCGTGTGGGCGCGGGACCCGGACGAGGCGGGCAACGGTCGCGTGAGCTACTCGCTGTGGGAGGGCGGCGTCGGGGGCGCGTCGGCGTCGTCGGGGTGGCGCGCGGCGTCGAGCTACGTGTCGGTGGAGGCGGAGAGCGGTCGGGTGTGGGCGCTGCAGCCGCTGGACTACGAGGAGGTGCAGGTGCTGCAGTTCGAGGTGCGTGCGGTGGACGCGGGGGATCCGCCGCTGAGCGGCAACGCCACGGTGCAGGTGTTCGTGGTGGACGAGAACGACAACGCGCCGGCGCTGCTGCCGTCGTCGGTGGGCGGTGGCTGGGGCGGGTCGTCGTCGATGGAGGTGGAGGCGGTGGCGGCGGGGTCGCTGTGGGCGTGGGCGTCGTGGGGCGCGCCGGCGGGTCAGGTGGTGGCGAAGATCCGTGCGGTGGACGCGGACTCGGGCTACAACGCGTGGCTGCGGTACGAGTTGTGGGAGCCGCGTGGGAAGGGCCCGTTCCGCGTGGGTCTGTACAGCGGCGAGGTGACGACGTCGCGGGCGCTGGAGGAGGCGGACGGTCCGCGTCAGAGGCTGGTGATCGTGGTGCGGGACCACGGGGAGCCGTCGCGCTCGGCCACGGCCACGCTGAGCGTGTCGCTGGTGGAGGGCGGCGAGGCAGCGGCGGCGGCGTCGGGGGGCTCTTCGTCGTCGTCGTCGTCGGGTCTGCGTCCGTGGTCGGGGTCGGAGGGCGTTGGGTCGTCGTCGGGAGCGTCGTCGACGAACGTGTGGCTGGTGGTGGCGATCTGCGCGGTGTCGAGCGTGTTCCTGCTGGCGGTGGTGCTGTACGGGGCGTCGCGGTGGGCGCCGCGGGCGGCCGTGCTGTCGGGGGCCGGTCCGGCGAGGCGGGTGTGCGCAAGCGAAGTGGGGAGCTGGTCGTCCTCCCAGCGCGAGCGTCGGAGCCTGTGCGTGGCGTGGTCGTCGTTGTCGGGTCTGCGTCCGTGGTCGGAGGGCGTTGGGTCGTCGTCGGGAGCGTCGTCGACGAACGTGTGGCTGGTGGTGGCGATCTGCGCGGTGTCGAGCGTGTTCCTGCTGGCGGTGGTGCTGTACGGGGCGTCGCGGTGGGCGCCGCGGGCGGCCGTGCTGTCGGGGGCCGGTCCGGCGACGCTGGTGTGCGCCAGCGAAGTGGGGAGCTGGTCGTACTCGCAGCGCCAGAGCCGGAGCCTGTGCGTGGCGGAGGGCGCGGGCAAGAGCGACCTGATGGTTTTCAGCCCCAACTTCCCGCCGCCGCCCGGCCCCGCGGCGAAGGAGACGCAGCCGGAGCCGCCCGCTCTGCTGGACACGGTCAGTGCCCGCCCGTTATCGTCTCTCGCCCCCTTCTCGCCTTTTTGTCCCCTGTGTCCCAACCCCCGGGCAATCTCTTTTGGGAATTGGTTTAAGCCCGCGGGGCCCGAGGACGGTGCTTTTTGGGTGCTTTCTCTCAGGTTGCTGACTGCAGCGTTGCTTTTGTTTTCTTCTGCAAGTTGTTTGTCTGCTGCGTTATTTAATGGGATTTTCTCCTCTTCCTGTCGATCGGAATTGCTTGGATCCGTTTCACGCCATTGTCCGTAGCGTCAGGACCTCAATGCTAGTAAACGTGATGTTTTACTTCTTTATATCTAACTGAAGGTGCGGTAAGGTCTCCTGTTTGCTTTAGCACCTCGTATCTTTTGTAGACCAGATGGGGAGATCGAGAGTATAAGCTGGGATTTAAAGGATATGTGGATATTTTCCGTCCAAATATGTCCTAGAGGATGGACATATCTAAGTTTCTCTCAGTGTTGCGCAATCTAGTTTTTTCCTGTCTTTACACCTACTTTCTTCACGATACTTCTTCTTTGGATAGCCCTTGCGTATCCAGTTTCAGTCTTTTATGTTTTAACACAAGGAAATATCTGTCAAAGAGAAGCTACTTTGAATCTTTGGTCATCCTGCTGTCCTTCTCTGAAACCCTTCCTGGTCTTCTCTCTTCTTCTTTCCATGTTAAGAAGTGAAAGACCCTCTCAAAATATTCAGTGTTGGTGAACCTTATATTTCTGTAAAGTTGAATGAAATGCATTGTGTTCTTCCGTGGTCTCATAAGTCTTACCTTTTTAGTTTGCACTGAGAGCAGAGCTGATATATCCAGGTCACTGTTTTTTTCTGTGCAAAAGATGTAATTTCAGAACCTGAAATTATTTGTTTCAGAGTCAGTCACAGTCTCGGTTTGTCAAAGCCTCACTTTTTCTCCTCATCTGCTCAGCTCTGTGGTTTCCTGCATGGATAATCTTTTACCGTTTTCCCACCTAAATCTTCAGGGTCATTAACTCTTTCTGCAGTTCTTCTCAGCAGAGAGAACTGCTCTGTAGGGTAACATCTCCTGCAACCTTTGTTATATCACTCTCCATGACTTTTTGACATCCCTTGATAAACTATTAAATGACACAATTACTGGCAAAGATCTCTGCCCCACTGCAGTTTTGACCATATCTTGCTCGAGGTTTGGTTTTCCTGCCATCTGTGTAGTTAATCCGAACTCCAAATGCCTCTTTCAACCTTCTTTCATATTGAAGGACTGTCTTAATTTGTGTGCATTTTCCTGTCTTTCAGGTAGGGCAGTTTTAATGAACTTTTTGCTTTTGACTGGTAGGAAGTGCTGATTTCAGTCTTTTCTTAACCAGAAGTCTGTCCTCCTTTTTGATTCTCTTCTGAAACAGGGATCATGCAATCTGATTGCAGATGTTACTCCAGGTTCTTCTCTGTTCACCTGCATGGCATATATTAGTTTATGAAGTACCACAGAATTACTATGGGCATGGGAAAGATATCAGAAGCACTTCCCGTTATCCCTTTCCCTTTCTAATAAATGGCATAAGAGCATGAACCAAGGTAGGTATGAAAAATGTGCAGCTATAGTGGTAAATTAGGCAAGATGTATTGCTAGAGGACATGTTTCTGGTGGGCAAATATATTTGTAAGAGCACCTCAGCTGTGGTTCCTGACTCTGTCAGTTCCACGCACCATACAGTTATAGGCTTTGTATTTCCTTTTCTTTCCTCCCTCCTCCCCTTCCTGAGAATACTATTTAAAATAAACTTTTATTTTGCATCTCGTTGTGTGCATGCCTTATGATGATCATGTGGGTATAAACTGGGACAACACAGGAAACTCCTGATTCCCCCCATAGAAAGCATGGCTTATTTTGCCTTTCTCAGGAGATGTCTCGGTAACTGTGAGCAAGAGCCATGCTGGCAAATAGTGTTGACTGCTTGATTTCAGAACTTGTGGCCCGTGTCATCACTGTGGTTCATTGTAGTCTCTCAAGGTGATGTTTACTTTGGGAGAATGCAGCGAGATTCAGGTTTAATCTGTTTCCAACTTCTTAGAAGAGGATGCAGAAACACTGGCAATACAGCAAGGATTTAAGAGGCAGGACAAAACCGGTTTGCCTTTCCAGCCCTACTTCCCTGAAATTGTGAACTTCCCTGAAAAGTGACCCCTGAACTTGGCCCTGACAACGGAGACCTGGAAATAAATCAAGACAAATGTTAGAATAGCAATAAGTGTAATTAAAGATGACCTATCGACAAGACCTACTTGGAATTTTTTAGCATTGGGTCTCTTCATTTTTGTTTTGACCTCCTGTTGCATCGTTGATGCTTCTGTGGTGGAACCAGCAAATCACTACTGTGTGATATGTGTTTTGTGTTGCTGCCTGGGCTGTATGGTGGGGTAGCAGGAAGTGTCTGTAATTGTATAGAGATGGAGCCCTGATGCATTTATGGAAGTGGATGAGGTGGGAGCCTGGGAACATGTTGTAAGATGAACTGTACCTTACCAGAGCAGTAGTGCAAATCTTTTGTGCTGTCTTCAGTTATGTGATGGGTGGATGACAGTACTGTATCCTGCAGCAGCTCATCTCCATCAGCAAAGGGCACATTGTTTTACTGTACTGTGAGCGCCTGCCTGCCTAAAAAGGTAAGAAATAACTGGTCATTCATTGTGCAGCTCAAGTGGAGAATAAAACTTACAGGAAATGCTTTACTGAGACACATCAAGACTACTAGAGAGCTCAGGTTCCCCGAGCTATTTCACCCTTCCAAGAGGACTTGAGGTTTGTGGTTTATGAGTTAGACAGTCACTGATGGAGTTGAAAGGCTTTGAAATTTGTATGCATTGCTGGTTTCTTAGGTTTGAGTTATACTTCAAAAGGCAAAACCATTATGTTATGGATAAACTCAGAGTTTTGTAATATGATGTCCATACTCTATTATTTACTGTATGAAAACCAAGGGATTTGGTGCATGGGATTGATCAGCTACATCACCATCATGAAACCACGAAAAAAGGAAGCAGTTTCTGCTTGTTTTTAGTGTTGCTGCAGTAGACACAAAAAATTTCCACGTGAATCTGTGTCTTCTGGAGACCTGAGTACCTCCTATAGGTTGAAGATCAAGGATACAGATTTCTTCTATAGACGAAACAGCTGAACTCTCTTCGCAAAGGAAGAAATAAATGAGGAAACTGAGATATGCCCCATCAGCAACGTGTAAGGAAGATCAAGTTTGGAAAGCAGAAGTGGGGTAGGTTCTTTTCATTGAAGACCTTCTCAAGTGTGATTCCTGGGTTAATACAGGCCTTTAGGAAACATTTTGGCAAGTATATATATCAAGTGCCTTTAGGGAAGAGAAAATGAAGACAGAAGAGAAGGGGAAGACGAGGGGAAGAGAATGAAACAGGAAAGAGACCAGGACGGAGACGAGGAAAGAAGCAGACGAGGACAGGAGGAGACAAGGAAAAAGACAAGGGAGATAAGAAGAGACGAGAAAGAGAAGAGAAAGAGAAAGTTCTGCTATCACCTATTATCGTTTTTGACGAAGAAAAACCGCGGAGCTTGTCAGCCGAGCGGGCAGAGCCACGACCTGTCATTCCCCGACCGGAGCCCCGCTGCGGAACCCGGGAATGCAGTAGGAAAAGGCTGCCCGCAGAAGCAGACGCGGTCGGACACCAGGTGCCGCTGTTGGCCGCGAAGGCGCTGTGAGCCCGCAGGAGGACGGCAGCTCCTCCCTGAGCCGCTGTCACGGCTGCCATAACCGGGAGAAAGGATGCGGAGAGCCGGGCCGGGCGGAGCGACGAAGCGCGGGGCGGCGCCAGGCGCCTATTGGGGAGCCTTTGAGGGGAGAGTCCAGCGGCAGCGGGGAGCCGTGCGGGACCCGGGCGGGTGCCGGCGGCGGCGGCGGCGGGTGCAGCGGGGAGGATGGTCGTGAGTTGGGGTGTGGTGTTGCGGGCGGTGGTGTTGGTGGAGGCGGCGTGTTCGTTGGTGGTTGGTCAGGTGCGGTACTCGGTGCCGGAGGAAGCCAAGGCCGGGACGGTGGTGGGCCGTCTGGCGCAGGACCTGGGCCTGGAGGCGGTGGATGGGGAGGGTGGTCGGCTGCGCCTGGTGTCGCCGGGCCGCGGGTGGAGCGTGGAGGTGAGCGGGGCGAGCGGGGCGCTGGTGGTGAGCTCGCGGCTGGACCGGGAGGAGCTGTGCGGGAAGAGCGCGCCGTGCGCCCTGCGGCTGGAGGTGCTGGTGGAGCGGCCGCTGCGCGTCTTCCACGTGGAGCTGGAGGTGACCGACATCAACGACAACGCCCCGGTCTTCCGCGTTAACGAAGAAGCCTTTAGCATCGCGGAATCGTCTCTGCCGGGTTCTCGTTTCCCGCTGGAGGGCGCGTCGGATGCAGATGTGGGCGCCAACGCGCAGCTCTCCTACACACTCAGCCCCAGCGAGTACTTCGCTCTTGATGATCAGGGTAATAACGACCAGAGAGCGTCTTTAGCTCTTATTCTAACGAAACCGCTAGACCGCGAGACGTTGCCTGTGCACCAGTTGGTGTTGACGGCGAGTGACGGGGGCCGTCCGTCGCTGACGGGCACGATGGAGCTGGTGATCTAGAAACACTGGCAATACAGCAAGGATTTAAGAGGCAGGACAAAACCGGTTTGCCTTTCCAGCCCTACTTCCCTGAAATTGTGAACTTCCCTGAAAAGTGACCCCTGAACTTGGCCCTGACAACGGAGACCTGGAAATAAATCAAGACAAATGTTAGAATAGCAATAAGTGTAATTAAAGATGACCTATCGACAAGACCTACTTGGAATTTTTTAGCATTGGGTCTCTTCATTTTTGTTTTGACCTCCTGTTGCATCGTTGATGCTTCTGTGGTGGAACCAGCAAATCACTACTGTGTGATATGTGTTTTGTGTTGCTGCCTGGGCTGTATGGTGGGGTAGCAGGAAGTGTCTGTAATTGTTTAGAGATGGAGCCCTGATGCATTTATAAAAGTGGATGAGGTGGGAGCCTGGGAACATGTTGTAAGATGAACTGTACCTTACCAGAGCAGTAGTGCAAATCTTTTGTGCTGTCTTCAGTTATGTGATGGGTGGATGACAGTACTGTATCCTGCAGCAGCTCATCTCCATCAGCAAAGGGCACATTGTTTTACTGTACTGTGAGCGCCTGCCTGCCTAAAAAGGTAAGAAATAACTGGTCATTCATTGTGCAGCTCAAGTGGAGAATAAAACTTAAAGGAAATGCTTTACTGAGACACATCAAGACTACTAGAGAGCTCAGGTTCCCCGAGCTATTTCACCCTTCCAAGAGGACTTGAGGTTTGTGGTTTATGAGTTAGACAGTCACCGATGGAGTTGAAAGGGTTTGAAATTTGTATGCATTGCTGGTTTCTTAGGTTTGAGTTATACTTCAAAAGGCAAAACCATTATGTTATGGATAAACTCAGAGTTTTGTAATATGATGTCCATACTCTATTATTTACTGTATGAAAACCAAGGGATTTGGTGCATGGGATTGATCAGCTACATCACCATCATGAAACCACGAAAAAAGGAAGCAGTTTCTGCTTGTTTTTAGTGTTGCTGCAGTAGACACAAAAAATTTCCACGTGAATCTGTATCTTCCGGAGACCTGAGTACTTCCTATAGGTTGAAGATCAAGGATACAGTTTTCTTCTCTAAGACGAAACAGCTGAACTCTCTTCGCAAAGGAAGAAATAAATGAGGAAACTCAATGAGATATGCCCCCTCAGCAATGTGTAAGGAAGATCAAGTTAGGAAAGCAGAAGTGGGGTAGGTTCTTTTCATGAGATATGCCCCATCAGCAACGTGTAAGGAAGATCAAGTTTGGAAAGCAGAAGTGGGGTAGGTTCTTTTCATTGAAGACCTTCTCAAGTGTGATTCCTGGGTTAATACAGACCTTTAGAAAACATTTTGGCAAGTATATATATCAAGTGCCTTTAGGGAAGAGAAAATGAAGACAGAAGAGAAGGGGAAGACGAGGGGAAGAGAATGAAACAGGAAAGAGACCAGGACGGAGACGAGGAAAGAAGCAGACGAGGACAGGAGGAGACGAGGAAAAAGACAAGGGAGATAAGAAGAAACGAGAAAGAGAAGAGAAAGAGAAAGTTCTGCTATCACCTATTATCGTTTTTGACGAAGAAAAACCGCGGAGCTTGTCAGCCGAGCGGGCAGAGCCACGACCTGTCATTCCCCGACCGGAGCCCCGCTGCGGAAATTGAAGACCTTCTCAAGTGTGATTCCTGGGTTAATACAGACCTTTAGAAAACATTTTGGCAAGTATATATATCAAGTGCCTTTAGGGAAGAGAAAATGAAGACAGAAGAGAAGGGGAAGACGAGGGGAAGAGAATGAAACAGGAAAGAGACCAGGACGGAGACGAGGAAAGAAGCAGACGAGGACAGGAGGAGACGAGGAAAAAGACAAGGGAGATAAGAAGAAACGAGAAAGAGAAGAGAAAGAGAAAGTTCTGCTATCACCTATTATCGTTTTTGACGAAGAAAAACCGCGGAGCTTGTCAGCCGAGCGGGCAGAGCCACGACCTGTCATTCCCCGACCGGAGCCCCGCTGCGGAACCCGGGAATGCGGTAGGAAAAGGCTGCCCGCAGAAGCAGACGCGGTCGGACACCAGGTGCCGCTGTTGGCCGCGAAGGCGCCGTGAGCCCGCAGGAGGACGGCAGCTCCTCCCTGAGCCGCTGTCACGGCTGCCATAACCGGGAGAAAGGATGCGGAGAGCCGGGCCGGGCGGAGCGACGAAGCGCGGGGCGGCGCCAGGCGCCTATTGGGGAGCCTTTGAGGGGAGAGTCCAGCGGCAGCGGGGAGCCGTGCGGGACCCGGGCGGGTGCCGGCGGCGGCGGCGGCGGGTGCAGCGGGGAGGATGGTCGTGAGTTGGGGTGTGGTGTTGCGGGCGGTGGTGTTGGTGGAGGCGGCGTGTTCGTTGGTGGTTGGTCAGGTGCGGTACTCGGTGCCGGAGGAAGCCAAGGCCGGGACGGTGGTGGGCCGTCTGGCGCAGGACCTGGGCCTGGAGGCGGTGGATGGGGAGGGTGGTCGGCTGCGCCTGGTGTCGCCGGGCCGCGGGTGGAGCGTGGAGGTGAGCGGGGCGAGCGGGGCGCTGGTGGTGAGCTCGCGGCTGGACCGGGAGGAGCTGTGCGGGAAGAGCGCGCCGTGCGCCCTGCGGCTGGAGGTGCTGGTGGAGCGGCCGCTGCGCGTCTTCCACGTGGAGCTGGAGGTGACCGACATCAACGACAACGCCCCGGTCTTCCGCGTTAACGAAGAAGCCTTTAGCATCGCGGAATCGTCTCTGCCGGGTTCTCGTTTCCCGCTGGAGGGCGCGTCGGATGCAGATGTGGGCGCCAACGCGCAGCTCTCCTACACACTCAGCCCCAGCGAGTACTTCGCTCTTGATGATCAGGGTAATAACGACCAGAGAGCGTCTTTAGCTCTTATTCTAACGAAACCGCTAGACCGCGAGACGTTGCCTGTGCACCAGTTGGTGTTGACGGCGAGTGACGGGGGCCGTCCGTCGCTGACGGGCACGATGGAGCTGGTGATCTCGGTGCTGGACGCCAACGACAACGCGCCCCAGTTCAACCAGTCGGTTTATAATGTGAAAGTCTTAGAGGGTGCAGAGCCCGGAACTCTGTTAATCACACTCAGTGCCACGGACTTGGACGAAGGGATCAATAGTGAAATTGTATATTTATTTAGTAGGCACGTCACTGAAGAAATTAAAGAAATGTTCTCTATCGACGGAAACAAAGGAGAAATCAGACTAAAAAGAAAATTAGACTACGAAGAAATGGATAATTACGAGCTCATGGTAGAAGCAAGAGATAAAGGCTCCCCTCTGTTATCGGGCCACTGCAAGGTGGTGTTGGAGGTGCACACTAACTCGCGTAGTAAAACTCTGTTTCTGGTGCTGACGAAATCTCTGGACCGCGAGACGGTTCCTGTGCACCGGTTGGTGTTGACGGCGAGTGACGGGGGCCGTCCGTCGCTGACGGGCACGATGGAGCTGGTGATCTCGGTGCTGGACGCCAACGACAACGCGCCCCAGTTCC